CGAACTGAAAGAATCCAGTGGAAGATTAGCTATCTTACTCTCTTCTTTGTTGGAAGTGAAGTGACTACCGATCGCGCGCGAAAGGAGTGACTTATTTCTTCATCCAATATCCCAGATACGGCTCTAAGAATTATTTAAAGCGTATCACGTGAAATCTTTCCGAAAGACATATTTCTAAATTGATATCTGCGGCGCAACTAAATATACGTGTGCGAGAGACGTGATCCACAAACGATAAATATCACTTTCGTGTACAAAAATCAATTTCAACTCGCTCAAGAAGATCCATCAGCGTACTTGTTTATCCGACATACACGCGCATCCGTATATCGGGGTATAAATAGCTGTATACGCAACGTAGTATATCTCGTGACGTATACGCCGTACGTATATAAGCGCGCGATACGACCCCGACTACCGGGGGTATACGGCGGAAGAAGGCATCGACCTGCGGCTTTTATGAAGATAACATCTCTGCTTATGAAGCATAGCTTATCTGCCTCCCCGCCATAGATCTTTCAGCGGGTACGGAAGCCCTCCTTGCCGCCTGTATAACCAAACCACCAGTCGGGCCAGAGACCACCTTCCATAATCCATTATAGTTTCTAAAACGGCCCGCAACCACCGAGAGAACGCGCGTACCCTCGGCAAGAAACTGTTTACGAGGCCGCGACGCGACCAGCGAAAATTCGCGAACACGTGCGTTCGCAACCCGCGCGTATCTTTGCCGGGGATATACTGATGATTTACTCACGCGCAAAAACCGCTACTTGTTCTCGATGTTTTTTAGTACCAATGTTCGTTCATTGAACCGTGGACCATGTACGCTGAGTGTCTGCGACGAATAATTAGATTGTTTTGTGCTTTCCTGCCTTTACTTCGCGACATCATATATCTTAAAGTGCACTAGAATAGAGAAGAAACGTTAAAATATTTCTCTCGTCTTTATTTATATTTTACAATATAAATCAATGTTTTTAAAACGTTAAAATCGTAATCATGTTGTTTTCATCGTTAATTTTAATACTGTACAAGTTGTTGAAATTTAATTGTACTACCCAGCTTAAATAATAAATTAGACAATCCGGATGATATTAATATTTATAAGCAGTACATGAAAGAATTCTTATCGCATCGCAAATACATCGAAAATACCTTGAGAGTTTTGTAGAATTGTTTGAAGTCTTGCGGATATTGATCCCTAAGGAGAAATTAAGAAAGAAATTCTTAACAAGTAACACACTTTGAAATTTCTGTAAAGTATCGATGGCGCAAGTTTCGACACATCTTGAAAGTCTTCAAACTTTATGAAGGTCTAAGAATTTATGGCTACATGAGCGCAGTAGCGCGCATTCGGAAGTTCTCGCGTGAACAAAAGGGCTTCAAAATCAATAATTTTAAAACTATCGGAAATATTGAAGGCAAAAGGAAAGATCTAAGAAAAAGTCTTGAGACCATTTCTGCAATTGTTACTTTTAAACTCCAAAAAAATATTATTTTATTTAGAAACTATACATTTTTTGTTGGTACCATAAAATTTTGTTATGTTGCCTTTATATACACATTTATAGCTATTCTTTGTTTATTTTTTATAACAATTAAAACTTTATTTATATATACATATTAATTTTAATAACTTTTTAACATTTAATAATATTTACTCATACATTAAAATATTTATTCGCATTTTAGAAAGTAATCTACTAAATTTACTATTGTTTTATCTTTATTTTTACAAAGAAAATTATATTTGCTTTGAAGCTAACATAATATAAAACTTAAAAGAAACATTTAAGATTTATGTTCATTTTTATATAATGGTTGTATTTGAATTTTATTTGCATTCGATATTCAATTATCACTTTATTGAGAGAACCTTGAATTAAAGGAGATAAAATTTTTATGTCTGTATACTTACTTAAATTCTGTGATAAATTTGTATTTAAAACGATTGGCGATTTTTTAAGTATTAACCAAGCTGGATCGGAAAATTTGAGAGCCTCTGGCTTTATGGTTCAAGTCCCTATTTCCAATTTTTTGAAGTAACCTTCGCATACATTACAACTCAGTGTAACGCGTACATAAGCATCAGAGGCTTCAACATTAAATGGTCATTTCTTTCTCTTTTCGCAACGCTACACCCATCAAACCGCATTCCTCGAGAAAGTTGCGGCGCGCATCGCATGCATCCAAGCAGTAGTAGTACGTCAGGATTATCTGCGAGCACGTTAATGAAAAGACGTCCGTCCGTTCGCAAATGCACACGCTGTGATGAGGCCGGCAGGAAGGATGACGTTTTAAGAGGCATAGAGAAACGCGCGTTGACTCCCGATGATTAATGTGACGTTATATTGTCCGTTATGCCTAAATCACGGACATGCCAGTAACGCGTTTTACACGACGTAATAAAGAATAAACTTAAATGAGTAAATGATGAGCAAGCGGATGCATCTGGCATAAATACCTGTCAGATGTATTGTATTTTATATGGATGTTACCTCTTAGATAAATGCTATCTCTGGTGAGAAGAATAGAAAGTATTTGTATTTTTAACAGGTTTAGACGTTTGACGAGTAAAAACTTTGAATTGGCGAATATTTTGTTTTGGAATCATTTTTTTATCAGCAAATAATAGATCAATAATCTCTTAAGTATAGAGCTTGATTATTATAATACTTGAAAGTCTATTGTTACGTAACACAGAAAAAGAGAGAAGAGGAGATACACAAAGAAAACTGAGAAGTACATTAATTTCGCTCAAATAAGACAGACTTATATAATTAAAAAATCCTTTATGGCTCCCATTGCTTTTCTGCCGAGATATGAAGTAATCTTTTATTTGATGAAAAATGTTCGTGGCAGCTCCGCGCTAATCTCGACTTGATCATATTCTTCCGAGGCTTGTAACAAAATTAAACGTGAAACGGGTACGAAGAAAACCATGATGAAGACGGCAAAAGCCCCGCCATCGTATCGCTAGCGACTACATGGGCGCGTATCTTCTCTCTCGCTGCGAGTTTGCTGAATACTCACGTATACGATGCCATCGCCATCACTTCATCCCGGTTTTCCGCGGGACGGGACGTGATAAATGCTCCGGCACTGACATCAGAAAAATATACTCTCGTTTCTTCAACGCTCGGTGCTCCGGCGCCGCGGCGTGCCCCTTATCTCGCGGCTCGAGACCGACTCTCTGAGAAATGGCTTGTTTTAAAAAAAAGCGGCCACGGTCGGATTTTTATATCGACTGTTTACATCTATTTCGCCTTAACAATCTTAACGTTGACCGCATGTGGATGTTAAACGCGAGCGTCGGCAACAGGACTACGTGATAAGCGCGAACACGGGGTAAATAAGTGTATTTCAATGCCAGTGTCTTTAATGTATACATTTTTATATGCAATTATTTATACAAATGCGTTAGTAAGTACAGAAAATAAAAACAATTGCAGGTTCGTGTATTATTAATGTGAGTACAATTATATGTAGTCTGCCCGCTTTATAAGTCACTTGTCGCTTAGTTATCCGTAGAGTACGGAAGTTTGTGAAGTTTTACGAGGAGTTATTTTAAGCTAAAGTGCATTATGGGTGGTTATTTTTACGTTTGCCATTTATTAAACTAAACAGAATCTCTTCTACTTTTTTATTATTAGCGTCATTATCATTATACAAGAAAGAGGCAATTATTTAATTTTAAACAACATATAGACATTTATAAAGTAAAACTTCACAAATTTTTGCACTCTAAAACTCTACAAACCATTTCGCTCTTCAATGTTAACATATATATATTTTTTTGTTAAACAACTTTTTTTTAATATTACCAATTGTGCAAAATCTTATATTTATAATGCTTAATTTATTCACATTTATCTTATCCAAGTCAGAATAACACATGATACGATATGAAATGGGAATAAATTAGAGTCATTCTTTTCATCACAGTCGTCACAGTTAAAATCTCGATTTTCAACTTGTTTTAACATTCGTAATTATTCCTACGTATTTTATTATACACTCTAACATCTAGAGTAAGTATACGCTATTATCTATTTGGGATCGATTTTGTGTGCTCAAGGGTATAACAATATTTTAAATAATCTGTTTACGTAAAAAAACAAACCTTATATACAAATGTAAAAAACAAAAAAAAAATGGTAAAAATAAGATATTATTAAGCGTTTATGTAATGTGCGAGCACCACGCTTTTCGAGTACGTATGCCTGTCACATGATAACAGGGTCCGAAAAGCGAAGTCATCTATGAACACGGACAAATCTTTCCACGAAAAATATCGTACTACATTCTCAAAATAAGAACAACGATAACATCACTTTGATGATTCGTCCTCGCGAATATACAGTCTAATAATCCGACCAGCATTACAAACATTATTAACTAGATTAAAAATTTGTAGGTGTAACACCTAGTGGTTAAGTATATATAAAGATAAATGCTCAAACGGAGATATTTTTTTCTGATTTTTAGTCTATTTTGGATTTAAAACAATAAAATAAAAATAAATATACAGGATGTTACGTATGTAATATACACACTATTACAATTGTTTTCCTTTTGATATTAAATATTTTGGTAATAAAGTTTAAATTAAAATGCTATTTTACTAATTAATTTATTATAAATTTTTTATTTCTGATATTTATTTGTTTAATGTACAAAAATTATTAAATTTTAAATTTTTAAATTTTAATTATTTAATTTTTAATTGTTAATAATTCAGAACTTTAATTCTTTAAGCTGAATAGAAATTATTTAAGCTTTAGTTAAATTTACGAAACAGAGAAAGCGCGTTGGAACATCCTGTATATTTATCGTCTTTATAAAGAATCAGTTTTTATTTGGGGATTTACTTTCTTCTTAAAAATAATTGGATAACTTTTTTTAACAAACGGCAGTTGGAAGATTATTTAAAAGGTCGGAAATGTGCAAATGCGAAATATCATGAGAAACGTTGCCGTATATCATGGCTGAGAGCACAGTTTCTTTTTAATCTATTTTGGACCGTGAAATTATTCCGCGAATGGTCACACGTTTCACGATGTCCGCATTAAGTAAAATTCGCCGTTTGCAAGTAAAATATACTCGTGTCGGGCATAATTTTTGTGTAAAAATGGCAAAAATAATCTGATTTTTTAAGTGCTATCGCATACACGATTAAAACGGACTAGAGCGTGTTTCTAAGACGAGAAGAGGCAGTCGCTGAATAATTTAAAAATGAAACTCACTACCGATTCCAAGAAATTGATAGCCTGGATAACCACAAGCACATGTAACACCAAAATAAGTATTTCTATCTTATACATATGCTGCAACCTCTCCATTAACGCGTAGTAAATACGTCTGTATGCTCGAGTACTGAATTCGCTCAGTCTTTCCATCGTATGATGTAGCTTAACGTGTTCGCTACATAAATACCGCTCTGTAAATATAAATTAATTAAATTAATTAGAGAAAACATATTTTCTTGATTAATTGATTGTGATAAAGTTGTCGCATAATTTTATGTACATGTGTTATGTAAAATTGATTGCAATTCGCAGGAGCTTACATTTATGACATTTTAGAAAGAGCATGCCTTCTTCAATTATCACATATTTTGTATGTGCGACAACTTTTTCTTTAAAGTTACATTTTTCTTATGTATTCCACTTTAAATAAGAAACAAATTTTACTAGATAGATTTATTTTTAAATCAGTTACGTAAAAACAAAATGTGCACATTACCTGTATCAGTGTGAATTTCCTCTTCCGGAGGAGGTAGATACTTGTCCAACATAACTTCAGCAAAATCAGTCGTATTGTCAACAGTCTTTAAAATATTGATACCAGTTTCAGTTGACATGACCTTGTCGGCTTGTTGCCAGCTGTAGATACGTAAGTAATGAACCTTGTAATAAGTAAGTAACGTCATAACCCTTACTCTCTGCTTGGTTTCCTGCTTTAAATCGGTAAAAGTTTTAACTGCAGGACGGAGACGTTCAGATACCATAGACTTGGTGCGATCTAATATCTAGAAAAGGAAGAATATAAAAAAGTGAACATATTTTAATATAAGTCTGAAATCAAATAAAGTAATTAAAAATCCATATTATGGATAGAAATATATGTTTGTATGTATCACCTGTTTGGGTTCTTCTTTGATTATCGGTAGATTTACTTCGACGAAATCGATGCCCTGACACAGTGTTTTATCCAGCGTATAAATTGGTTTCTCCATCAATCGAGCAACTGGCAGGGACTTCTCTATCATCGTATTCACCACGCTCTCAACAGTGTCAAAGGCCCAATTCACAAATGTGTTTGTGCCTTTTACACGTTCGTATACCTCTGTAGATTTATCCCACAAGTAGTTCACGCTGGGTATTTTACGTGCGCGATCGACAGCTTGAATTCGATAAGACTGATCCGAGAATTCCGTATCCATGGCTGTAATTGAATAGAGATCTCCTTTTCATGGATAAAACGAATAACCTGCTCTTGGTTCCTGTTACTGCACAGTCTGTGAAAAGATATTAAAGTTATTCTAACAGCAATTAAATTCTTAGTAAAACAATTTTAATAAAACCAGCAAGATGAAATTTTGTGAGAAACTGACTATAAATTGAATTGAATATTTTTCAACAAACTCCTTTACTTCAGGAAATACATGAGGAGACGGAGAACGACGCAAGTGCGCGTTAAAAGTATAAATTGTGTACATAAATTATTTACGTAGAATGCAAATGAACAAAAGGATAAATAATTTACGAACGTAGAAGCAATTGTCCTTTACTCCGATACTTAACACTCAATGAGACATTCTTTACCATCGGCATTACATCATAAGAGTCATTATTACATTAGGCACCCCATGACTTAATAATAAATATTCAGATTCCATTAGCGCATTCCTCTTATACATGAATTGCAATTTAAACAGGACATACACGGCGTTCGCGAAGCAAAAGTACGTTTAAACACACTGAGCGAGAACTAATAAATGATTGGAGCACAAAGCATCAGCGAAGCGCCGTAGGAATGCGCGCGGCTTACTACGTCTCATTGTTCGCTCCGATCGATGGAAACGTGCGAGCGAGTATAGTTATAGACATGTACGTACGTACGCGTCTCAAGATCAATGCCACGGCCGTGAATTGACAAGGTGGTCCGACCGATACGTGATATGATAAAGCGAAACCGTTGACACTTACTCGACGCGATCGTCGCGACTGGACGCCAGCAGGCCTGCTGCCCTATGGCAGCTATGGCTTTGTATTCCTCCTTCTTTGTTACTCTTTCTTTCTTTTATTCTCTTCTCTCACTGTCCCTCTCCACAACCATCGGAGCCTTTGTACCTTGATCCCTGACTCATTTCACTACGAAATTTGTTTATGCGGACGATTGCGAGTTCAATTATTTATACACACTTACGTAGTAGCAAATAAGTTGCTCCGTTTGCTGTCATTTTTCATCACCCGGTATTGAGCGGAAATATGGTTGTCACGAGATGCCACGAGATTACGCCGCTACTGTCAAGTTCTCGATAGTAGTCTCATTTCGGAGCGTGCGTCGGTAAAGACTGAGACAGTCTATAAAAATTGATCGAAATAAATTTCTAAATAAAAATTTTGTTAAATTTCATGAAATTCGCTAAAATCTTATTTTTAAAATTTAATAATTTTTACATTTAATTAAAATTTAAAATAATTATTTAACTTTTCATTATTTGCATAAATATTATTTGAATCCAATAAACTAATGTCCAAAAAAAATATAAAAGTAAATGAAAAACAAATAACGCATAAAAAGTTATTGTACTAATTTTGGTCTTTTTCTTAATATTTTTATTAGAAAATATAAGATATATCAGTTTTATCGCCTTTGTGAAAGTATATGAAAAATATAGAAATGTAAAGGGAAGAGGGTGGTAACTACGTACGATATAGATCTTCCTTTTTATCATATTAGATGAAATAATCTTTAGGAAATGATCGTTATAGTTCATTCTTTAACTTTGTTTTAAAAAAATTAAATTTTCTAAATTCAATTTTTTCTTTTTAGATCAATCAGGATGATTAATAATACAAGAAACATTTTCTCCAAAATTATATTTTAGCATGCATCTGCATAATACTTTATAAAATATATATTTAACATTTATTTCTCACAGTAGTTTGTAGTTCATCGTAAGCGTAGGAAATGTACCAATACCTGGACACGTACCTGTGTCAGTTTACTTCAATTCATCAATTTACTTTTTATATGTTTACTTTTTATACTTTTTTACTTTGTAAAAATTATCTGATAAACTAGGTTTAAAATAAGTTACCTAATGTTTAATAAAAGCGAAATATTCACATTTATTTATAGTTGCTCGAATTAAAAACATTACTTCTTTGTATCGACATATTTTTCATTTTTAACAAAGTGCTTTCGTTAAAAAAAATTATTAAAAAGTCTTACCAAAAATTTTTATACAATATTTTCAACTTTGATACAAATTCAAAATTTTTTTTTTTTTATATTTTTCTTCATAGTGCGTAACCAATTAATTAAATTATGCTCGATTTAAACGCGTATGAACTCATCGAACAAATAAAGCGTCTTTAAACTTTCGGTTTATTTTTTCTCCTCGTCCTTGTTCTCTGTCGGGCTGTTGGTTTCCTTCTCATCCGTTTGTTTCTGCCCAAGGTTCAAATATTGCGTAAGATGGAGAATTTCCACTACGCTGGATATGTACGTTGCTACGTCTTCCTTCTTTACTGTCTTCAATTGCGCGGAAACCGAATGGTAAACACGATTAGCGGTTTTCGATGACAGCTGACCAATCGTTTGTACCGCGTGAAGCACTTTGTTCTCATCCGCGGAGACGGGACCTGTAATAACATCATCATCATCATCATTATTAAAACGATGCCAGTCAGTTAATCAATATAATACGGAGGCTAATGAAATTTCCGAGAACGTACTTGGCGCATTCTCTTCTCCCTCGACCGGTGGGAAGTAATGGTCCAATAAACGATTGACGAGCACGCTGGTATTGTCAACGCCTTGTACAGCCATGTTTCCGTACTGCGTGCTTAGGAGCTCGTTCGCTTTAGTTATACTGATCTCTTTCAGCGTAGATGCCTGTTGCGTGGCTGATTCCTTTGCCGTGTTAAGTTTCTCGATGGTAGGCTGTAGGGAACTGCTCATAACCGCTTTGGCGGCGTCGTATATCTGTCAAATGCCAGGAAACCATTAATTTCTTCTCATCAACTTCACAATTAATTAAACAAGTGGTACATAACTCAGATTATTTCAAATTGTTTATCTTTACTATTTATTTAATTTGTATATTATATTAATTGTATTTTGTTAACAGTTAAAAAAATTTAGAAGCGTAATAAAATTAAATTTTAATAGTCAGGGAAATTAATTTGTAAATAAATTTGGAAAAAAGAAGAAATTTTTCTAAGTTTAAATACACTCAGATTTTGCGTAGTTACCCCACTGTTCGGGGACTGAAAGAAGGCAGGTTTCCTTTAGCGTTTACCTGCTGAGGTGGTTTCTTCACGATCGGAACTTTTTGTTCGACTATGTCCAATCCTTCGCATAGCTTCTGATCGACGGCATTGATCTGTCCTTCGAATTTCTTGGCCAAGGGTGCAGCAAGCGGTACGGCCGTAGCGGTCGCATAATGCAGCCCTGCCTCGGCATAGCTCAGAGCCCAATTTACCAGATGATGAGAATCCTTAACGTAAGAATATGTAGATCCCGTCTTCTCAATCGCCGAATGGACCACCGGAATGTTTTTCACTCGATCTAGCACCTCGAGGCGAGGAGCATCGGTGGCGGAGTTTGCTGTTGCCTTATTTACGTCGGCCATTCTCTCTATACCAAACAAAATAAAATTTAAAATTGACATTCATAACGTTTGTTTCGAAAATGGCATATATCAAACTTGGCATTCTTTGTCAATAAAAATACATTGTATTAAAATATATTCATATCTAATATGTGCGATTTAAATATATGTGCTTTTTCAAATTTATAATTCAAATTTCAAGATTTATGCCATTTTTATGAATACATACATTGATACAACAATGCGATATAAATAAAAACTATAATAAGCTGCGATCTCTCACGTTAACAGTGCGTGATGATATTATGCGGATTTAAATTAGATTCGTGGCAACGCTGAGTTATTTGTGCTACATTTTTTACAATTTTACGTAAGTGGTTGTATGACGATAATTATGTGTATCGCTCGATTATGCACATATACTCGTATATTTTAAAGATAAATGCGTACGATGTGGCAAGCAAATATTTTTCCAGAGATCTTTGTACCTTAAATTCGGTAGCCGGTGAATAAAACTCGTCATTTATCTCGTTATCTAATTATGTGTCAAGCCAGACGCGTACTTTGATACCGTTGTATATATATATGTATATATAGCTCAAAGATCAAACTTCCTCCATTTTTTCCTAGTAAATCTACATATGTGCGATTGGCGAATTAAAAAAAAACAAAAGAAGAAGACAAAAGAACACATAACGGTGAATAAAATCATTGTGATACATGTAGATTGTAGTATGTATGGTATACGTATGTACTATAAATGTTCAGTTTGGTGTTTCATACATTTATCTACGGCATGTGTAAAACAATGCCGAAAAAAGGAAACGTAAAATATAAAGCAAAATCAAATAGTTAGATTTTCATTACACGAACTAATATACTCAACTGATCATTAGATTATGAGTGTAATACATGACTCATCCGCTGGAACAGACGAGGAAATAGTAAACTATTCTTCATTGCTATTGAGTCGCTATTGTATGAAATGCACACAGTACGTTTGGAAATAATGCTCTCTTTGTATTTCACATCCGTTTTAAAATATCGCTTTTAATGAAAGAGACTTAATTTTATACCTTCCTTGTAATAATTCAATTTTATTAATTTAATTAAATTAATTAATGTAGTCTAATAATTTTTTTATAATCTTTTAACAATCTGATTTAAAATATCGTTTTTAAATTATAAAATTAATTATTTCAGATTATCTTTAACAATGAATTATTACTACGCAGTTTCTCTCTAATACATCGCAAGAATAAGAGTGCTAATATTCTATGTACGGGGATAATCCATAACACAAACTTTCTCTTGTCCCAGAAGACTATTGATGTTTCTTATGAAATATTTACTTTAGCTAGGTCAAGTTATAACGTACAACTCTGTGTTTACCCGACGTGAAACCGTACCTAACATTCCAAATACAGATCAACACAATATTATAGTAAATTATTATTACATGAGTATAAATTATTGTATATAATGCATATGTAAGCTCACATTAGTTGTTCAATAAGTATTTAAAATACCAAAAATTATTTGTTAATACAATTATAACTACTGATATTTATTAAACTTAATTAATATAAAATGCCAGTTCATTCACAGTGGTGGTCATGTTAAAAGATGTAATTTTAACATAGAGGATAACACAATAGTACTAGTTATACTTTCTTGCAATATGAATTATACTAAATATAAATACTTATTTGTATTATTTCAGCAAAATGTATTATTTTACATAATATAAATTTAAAAATTGATATCTTATCAATCTTAATGTTTTCTTATTTCACTTTATTTTAATATATACTTACATTTGTATATAACTTGCTGAGGAGAATTACTTGATAGGCAGATGCGTACAACTGATTTATACGAGACGCCGGGTAAGACTGTCGTTATATCTGTGTTAAAACCGGTAACCTACGGGGGAACGTCATTAAGTGGGGAGACCGGTACAGTACCGTCAGTTAGACGGGCGTCAGATACCCTCCTTTAAAGGAAGGTAGAAATAGAATTAATTTTACACTCGTTTTGTTTGCAAAGAGAAATTTTATTTTAATGACAAGAAATTGAAACAATGAGAGATAGATATTATTTTATACTTTTATAATTAGTGGCATAAAATTATTCAATTTTATTATAAAAATCTTAGGAAAGCAATTGATGATAAGATTTCTTTGATTTATGTTATGTACATCTTTTTTTTTATACCTGATATGCTCGATTTAAATATAATTTGGAAAATTACCTAATTTTTATATATTATTCTTTATTTTAATTATTTGTTATTTAGTCATTCAATATTTCAAACTAACAAAAGCAATCTCTTAATTTATGTCTAAATTTTAAACAATGTTTCTTGAATGAAGAGACTCGTTTTCGAAAGATTATTTTAATGTCTCATTTAAAATAATTCTTGTAATTTTTATTACACGTTGTTACATCGAATTATAGTTCGATTTCATCACACGATAGTTTATCTGATGTGTTTTTACTTTGGGTTCCACGTAACACGAGTACGTCTGTGGTCCCATTTATGCTTCTGCGCAGTGAGGAAAGAGAAGGTCTCGTAACATCCGTGACGTGGCGGTCATACACTTCTTTTCTACGCACTTCTATAAATATACGTGGAGAGCGAATGAACAGTCCACGAAGTTGACCCTACGGCGAAAAATGATAATTGGAAATAATGTTGATGCCGTTTAATGAATCATGAATCTGACGCAACTTTTTAACGTTCCGAGATATTTGTCTGTCATGCTCACCCTATCCCTGTGGCTTTATTGTTCATTAGCTTCATTAGTTCAAGAAATTTTATCATACGCGATAGTATATGACCGAGAAATGTGAAGAATTATGATCATTTATTGCAATAAGGAATAATCGCAATGAGTATATATATATATATATATGATTATATTTCGATAAGTTCTTATTGTTCATTCATATTGTTCTAGGTAACATGATAAAAGCAGAAATAAATTGTCTCTTCAATAAATATTACAGACTTAAGAAAAATAATAAAAGTAGTGAAGTATTTTCTATTAAATGTCGAATTTATCATTTCCAAGCTTAAATTTCGTCAAATTTTAATAAATAAATGTTTATAAAATTATAAAATAGTATAATTTAAATAGTAATAATAAAACACTATTGCATTTTTCCTACACACATTTATTAGATTGGTATATTAATTAAACGTACGAAATATAAATTTTCATTGCAATTATATTTGTTATATATTTGTTACATTTATTTAGTGTACAAAATACATATCAACATTTAGTTTTAAAATGAGAAAAAATATCCTTTTTTTGTCAATAATAATATGTGAAAATTTCGTATGTAATGATTAAAAAAAGATTACACAGTTCGAAGGATCTCAGTATAAGGCTTTGAATCGTTAAACGGAGCATTTCTATTTATATACGTATAACATATATACACATATATATTATATATATAAATATAAAATTGTATAACATATGGAATTATATTTATACATGGTACTGAGATCCAATAATTATCTGAAACCTCACATGTTTCGATTTTATTCAAATTTATGCACAACTGAATTATATAAAAAATATACATATATTTTTAATATATATCAATATATATTATATATAACAATTATAGTGTTTGTAGGCCATTATTTTATTTCATTTTGGCTAATATTTATGGTGGAAATTTCTGAAGTTTATTGCGTTCATACCTTTCCTTGTCTTATTCATTTACTTTTGCACATTCATGGTAATACAAAATATATAAATAAAACTTGTCTGTACACAATTCTATATCTTATTTTTACAATTGCATTTTTTTTTATATTTTGTATTTAGAGAGTAACATAAAGGAATATTAGCGCTTCGTTGATGCAGAATATTTTCGCATGTCGATTGCTTTTTCGGTTGCGAGGAATTAGCACATGCAATCACGATATTTCAATTCTTAACGATATTCACAAAACATATTCACCGCAAATAACAATTATATGCGCATAATTATTAATTAAAAATAAATATAAACGTTATTTCCAGTGATAATTACAAATGATATTTTTCAATGGTTTAAATAACCATACGTGGAGATATTTCGAGAAAAACGGGATGGAAGCAGTGCTTTTATTCGCTTTTTTCCTTTTCATCCTGTGGTTCTTCCTTTATTTCGCCATTAGCTTGTGGCTTTTCGTTGACAGTGTGAAGATATTTCGTGAGTCGAAGGAACTCGACTAAACTGTTGACATAAGCCTTCAATAAACCATCCTTCTTGATCGTGCTCAGGTGGTTTATTATGTTTAGGTACACACGTCGAGCAGCTTTATTCGACAGGTGACCGACTGTTTGTAGAGTATGTAACAGCTTGTCCTCCTCAGCTGTGTTTATGTCTGTAATCAAATGTTTATTATTAAAATAATATATTTTAGAAAGTATTTTTGTATATTTAGGGATAAATCTGGACAGTTATTTGATCTAAATTTTATTATTACATTTTAATAATAAAAGACATTTTTATTATTAAAAAAGAAATTAGAATTAAATTTTAATAATAATGAAAGAGAACGGTAATTTGGTGGCTATTATAATTATGACGATAAACTCTTATTGTCATGTCAGTTACTTTCACTAACTTTCTTGTTGACTCGTAACTCGCCGACTTTCATTACGTTCTAGTATTACTTTGCTTAGAATATTTTAATATTTTAAAAAATAAAGAACTTAATTTATATATACTTTTTATAGTTCCCAGTTATTCAGTAATCTAGATAAACCACTTTAATAAGTTGTCAAAAAATAAAAAATATACACTTTACCTATCGGTTTTTCTTCTTCTTGTGCAGGGAAGTATCTGTCAATGAGCTTATCAACGGCAACGGCCGTGTTATCTATACCTCTCACGGCCACACTGCCATAGCGTGTATCAAGTATTTGATTGGCCGTATTCCAGCTGATGTCTCGCAAATTCGTCGCTTGTAGCAAAATCATATCGTTTACATGCGAAATTCTTGATACTGCTTTCTCATAAATCTAAAGAAATATATTCAATATATTAATGTACTTATTTTATCAGTTTCAACTTTTAATTTATCAAAAAACATACGGATGCGAATACAAATCGATAAGCTAATATTCATTAATTACAATTATACGGTAGAGAGAGATCTGTCACAAACCTGTGCGGGTTTCTCCTTCACCAGCGGCACTTTTTCTTCGATTTTATCGAGACCGAAGCATAACGTGTGATCGACGAAATTTATGGGACTCTGAAGTTTTTTCGCGATGGGCACGGCGATGGGCATTGCTTGTCTCGTCGCAATGTTTATGGATGATTCGGCGGTACTTAGAGCCCAATTCATCAATTGATGCGAACCCTTCACCCTAGAATACGTCTCTGCAGATTTGATGACCGCCAACTCAACGATGGGTAATTCCATCACGCGATCAAAGACCTTTAGATGGGGAAGTTGCGCCACTTCTGTCGCCATGTTTCCGGATAAGTTTGTCACGCGTACGTCGAAAATATCTGTTTAAATAAAAACACATTTTTGCAAAGATGATTTATAAATTTATTAAAGTGACGATTGTGAACTTATTAAAGACATTTCGAAGAAAGTATATTGCAAAATATATTTAAACGTATGTATAGAGAGATATGGCAGATCATGTTAGAGCAAACTATATATTCGATGAAAAGATTAGATATATTTAAATAAACTTACTGAAGAGAACTATTCGTATTATTATATATTTAATAATAAATAAATAATGAGATTTTATATAAAACTTTCTAAAACTTCTCAGCAAAAATATTTTTCGCGTGTATTCTTTTGCATTTTATATAATATTAAATTAAATAACAATCTAAACTATTGATTTGTCGAGGCACTTTACTAAAACGCTGAAAGAGAAACTCCGGAAATCGTCTTTCATGACGATAAATGAAGAGACGTAAATATCAATATCTTTGAATACGAGTAACATAATATTTTCGAGTTCGGCAATGTCCTTGAGATGTCGATAGAATCTAGACATATTCACGATCGCGTCGAATTACTTAATTATTTTTATTCACCGTTAAATAATCGTAACATTACTTAAACAATTTTAATGCACAGGCTATCGTAGTAAAAATTAAAATTTCATAAGAGAATGAGATGCGAGATAAATTTCGCGGCTCCAAATTGAACAAACAATTTACCTAAAAAACTGAATGATAACTTTGTTGTGTAATGTGCTATATAACGATATAACTTTTTATAAGACACACAAGAATTCTCGACGATCCACACGTACATGCAACAGCAGTAAAATGTTGCGAAAGAACTACTGTCGTAACTTTCAACTTGAAATTTTCGTAAATCTAACAGTTTACTGTAAAATAGAACTTCTGTCTTGTATCAGTCAAACGTACGGAGATAAAATTTCGATAAACAAGAATTTGAAACATCACTATCTTGTCACAAAATAATACTCACGGTCTCGGATTAACAGTCGATCAGCAGGTAGTTGTTCGCCGGTGCGACTCTCGAACGCGTCTGGTACCTCGGCACGAATGCTGACTCCAGTCACGCACGTTGAACACTTATAACGTGGAGAATCGCCTGCGCAGTGAACGCAGTTTGAATAAGCCAATACTGACCGACGTACGACATGTGTTAATGGTTACCAGATACGAAAACGTCCTCACGGTCAGATTCTTAGGTACCTGCTGTTCATCCCTTGATCTCGTGAGAGCAAAATCGTCTTTAACTAAGAATTCAGGAAGACTCAGAAAAGAATAGAGAATATATACATATATGTACGTGCTTGTCAAATCTATATATAAGCATTAGTTCTTATTTTATTATTTCTTTAACTGTAAAATTATTTTTTCTTTATTATACAAACATTAACTTTTCTATTCTTTAACTATTCTTCTCAAAATTATTGAAATTTTATCGCGCAGACGCGATATTTTAAATAAAATATAATATAAATGTTTCTCTCTAATATGTAGAATTGTAGACATTCCTTTGGAGCTTCCAAATAAAATTTTTTTTAATTATTCGTTATACGTACAACATTCACTTTCGGGACCAACTTTTAATGCATTTCACGCAATCATATCGTCCAACCGTGGCTAGATAATACATTATTCCTTTCAAAGGAAGCAGAATGCATAACACACGCAAAGGTCAATCCCATAGAATAATGTAATGAGCTAAAAGTGAGAGCGTATAAATGTTTTGCCTTCCTGTTTTTTGTACATTAGTATACATAATATATAATATTTTTAGTTAACTTAAATAAACCAAAAAATAGAATATTTTTTTCTATTTTTCTAATATATGTATAATCATGGAAAAAATATATTTTAATTACAATTTATACATAAACCGCAAATTATTAAACAATATGTGAAATAATTTGTACCCCTCTAAGTCTAAGCAAAATAATAGTTTTAGGAAAACATTATTAATTTTCTTTTACTGCTTACCCATGCTCCCTAATTATTATGCAGAATAGATATTTCTCATACAACATATATTTGTAGTATAGTGCTGTGAAATGAAAAGGGGACATAGTTCCTCACTGTCCTTTTCCATAATCATGTCTTCTCTGTACAAAGTCCATTCCGTCTACATCGTCAAATAGATAATTTAGCTGTTATCATCGCTGATGTGATTGTCGTATAAGCGGATAAAGACGACTTAAAAATTATCGGAAGAATTCAGACACATCCGGCTTCCGTAAAAAATATTTTGACTTCAAAATTCTATTATTTAAAAGATTTTTTAAACGGCAAATCTTTGAAATTAGCTGCTCACTTAGGAAGTTATAATCTTTTTCATCATTGATATAGCATTAATAAATTATGCAATATATGAAATTCTATTATTGTTAATTACCACAATTATGTTTCCTTTAAAATATTTCCGCTAAATAATTATTTGATTAGCATCACTAACTGACCTATTTATGACAGTTTATAATCAAAATTTACTATAGAAACTGAAAATTTAAAAATTAATGAAGCGAGAATTTATATTATTTTTAAATTATTATTTCTTGTTCTCAGTTTTATAATAATAATACATGATTATTTTAATACAAGTTTTACTATTTGCACAAATAATTGATAACAATTTGTTAATATGCTTCAATTTTCTTAAATTATTACAATTTATTTTATAGAAAAATGATCAGACAATTATAAATTATAAACTTTGATATTATAAACTATGAACAAAATTTATCTGATGGCCAGTTTAAGGTTAAACTATATAATTATCATAAGAATCTCATAATAAGAAGTAATTTAAAGTTGTTCCTATATATCTACTTGAATAAATTCCAAAGTCCATAGACATATAAATACATACACATGCAAATACTTTCAGCTAGACAGTGCGACTTATAGATAAACTTTTATCACGCGGCGTATGAAGTACTGCGTGAACTTCAAATAAATGTGATACGTCTCATTCATCTGACCTCAATCGTTTGAGTAATTCTTTCAAGAATTTCGTAATTTCTGAGTTATGATCATAGTTCAACAAATTAATACGTAAATGCGTGTTAAATTATTTAAAAGTGATTTAGAAATATATTATTAGCAATTACGAGGCACTTTTTAAGATCTAATATACTTTATACTAAAAAAATCTTAAAACACATTATAGTTAGATGTGTTTATATAAAAATCTGTATAAAGATCTTTGATATATATTATAATAAAAGAGATTATTATAATATTGCATATAATTCTGCATTAGCATTTTGTTAATATTAGTATATAACTATTAATTTGGAATTATCGATAATATTTAATAACAACAAATATATATTTAATAATGAGGAATATTACTTTTTAAACATAATGTACATATATTATTTTTAATATCAGTATTTAATTGAAAAACTCACTCATTTTATCTGCCGTTATTATACGTTGAAAATGTGCATTGTGATTTGCTTGAGGAACACAGGAAGATAGATTAATCCTGGAAGTAACGAATTTCTCCACTTTCACTGTGGAAAGAAATCTGAAGAGAACGTCGCGTTAACGGTATGTTGGTGTGTGACGCCTCACGATCTTTTCATCTGGGTGTCAAAGTCCAGGATTCAATATTTTAAACGCTGCGCAATAAGTATTCGACTTATCTGACTTATAATATGCACATTCAATAATATAATATATACTCTCTTTAATATATATTTGCGATATACTTTCTCCGAGTGTGATTGCACTAAATTGAGAAATAAAGAATATTTGCAACGATAAATAAAAATGCAAAAAATATATATTAAATCTTTAAAAATATTATTATTATAAAAATCTAAAAACTAGGACATTTAATTAAGTTTTTATCTATTAAATACATGTATTATTGTCGTTGCTTTAAATCTTTCTTTAAAATTACGTAAGGGATAGAAATAAACTCAAATTTTTGCGTGATGTCACAATTAAGACGGCCCTTTATTTTTTTACTTACATTTAATTATTGTAGGAACAATAGTTTTGACTATATAATAGACTATAATAGACTATATAATAGATTAATGACTAACTTGAGAAGCACAAAATGAGTATGGCACGGGTACACTGTGCCACTGATAAAATATATTCGATTGTTACATTATTGTATTGTCGTATTGTTGTATTACGTATCACGAATACAAATTCATAAAAAATAATGATGTAGTCGCGGTCGATGAAATGTTATGCTAATCAATGAGCGGCGACTCGGCGTGATTTCTATCCTCGTGTCTTTGACCTTGTAATTGAAAACCATACCAGAAGGGGAAAGAAACCCGCACGTAGCAGTTTTCAGGCGAGTAACTCGCTCGTTACTCGATACCATTTATTGGAGGATTAGAAGTTGCCGACATGTGGTTGTTGTGGTTCTGCTCGTGGTTTCGCATGCGTGGTGCCTTTTGAGAGCTGGGACGACCAGCCAAGAATGTAGCGAATTTTTCCTGCAATTTTTATCATTATATATATTTGTCGTGAACAGATATCTGTTTAATTTAAAAATATTTTGCGCTAACTGATTCATTAATGTAAGATGGTAAATATAACTTGGATATATAACAATAGAAGTAGTATTTTCATAAGCCTGTTTTATTTCTCTGCAAATAATATATTGATAATTTCAAATAATTATACTATAAGAGCGTACTTACCAATAGTAGATTCATAGTCGAACTCAACCTTTCAATACCAGAGCGTATGACAGACACTTGTTCTTTTGTTGCACTGCTCTTACCTATAAATGGTGTCATCTGCAAAATGATATAAAACGGTATAAAACTATTATTAAAATAAATGCAATGTAAAAACTTTTACGTACAATTAGACACGTTAAACTGTCTACTTCAATTAATGCTTTTTTTTTAAATAAGTATTAATTGAAGTAATATAAAAATAATATTTTATTATTCCTATATCTCGTTCCTTAATTACACAAGGCGAAAACTTTAAGATGAGTAAACATCACTCTTCTTAAGTTTTCATCAACCTATGCGGTTGAGGAGAAAGTGCTTTTCTATGATTTCTACTGTGTGCATAGAAAATGTCGCTCTCTTAATATTGATTGAATTATATAAATACGTCAATTTAAGCAAGATCAGTGAAATTGATGTAACCTGCAATGAGGCGTCCGCGATGGCAAGTAATTGATGAGAAAGCCTGACAAGTAGATGACCTAAACGCCGCGGAGTTTTAGCCGCCAATGCCGCGGCGCCGTTCACCAGGTGCACTATACGCCGTGCAGATTCGCGCGTCAAAAGCACGAGAAGCTGTTCGAGTGTATCTGGACGCGCCTGATTTTCGGGTTCATTCAGACTCAACGTGGCCCACAGCTCCTTTGTCTTTTCCATCGCCAATTTTGGGTCCGTGACTATCTGCGCATACATTACAAATCGATACTTACATATATGTTCTTTAATATACATATTTCATATGTCTCTCAATCAATTAAGAGAACACAGTAGTGTTCGCGCCAAGTAGATATACGCAAAGCGAGATTACATAGACACTACGTGATCATACCGAGATCACGATAAGACTTAGTGATCATCGCGTAGTAAATATTCGTATCGGAATTTAACTCGAGTTTCTCTTTACCTGTATTTGTAAATATTTATCACGCTAAGATCACTGAACGTCCTCGTGATCCCGATCACGCATCTATCTGCGAACTTATTGAAGCTTTCTTATCGAATACGCGGATTTAAGAAAAAAATTCTGAATTTTAAGATACGGGAAGATATAAATTATACAGTTAGAATATTCTGTCTGTTCTCACTTTGTTAAAACATAAATGTTTATATTCCATGGTATAATCGTGGTTTATATTGAAATGAGTTTTTTAGAATTCCAAAAAGATTTCATAGAAAGGTCGTAGAAAGATATGTCTACACGATATGTGCAAGCGTTGCTTTCTAGGAAGAATATCTGACATAAATATTTATAATTATTATTTTTCCGGGGATAGAGTATGTGAAAGATAAGTTATTCAGCGTTTCATGGCTACGATGGTGTAATATTCCTTTGTCAGCGACTATTTCGCACAAACATCTTTCTAATCAGTTGTAGCAGATATGTAAACCCTTAAAATAACTGTTAAAAAATAAAAATGTATCTACATGATATGCGTGTGTATGTACAATAAAATGCATGAAAAGCTAAATAATTTTGCGCAATGTACATTTTGTGCGCCGTAATATACAAATTTTTGACATAATTTAACCGTGCATGAGCATGTTGACAACTGATAAATGATAAATCGTAGAAATATCGAACCTTACCAATTCCACGACATATAGAAGAACGTGAATGCACTCCGTTCCTTGTTCCTTGAGTGCGCGCGCCTCGACCAAAGTACGTCGTGTCAATCTTTTTTGTAGTTTCCGCGAGAACCTTGCACCATGTTTAATCGTTCGTGACGTTTTGCTCATTTTTTCAGTAGGGTTGGCTTCTAAATCACAGATTGCCAAACATTTGATATTTATTAATGTTGTTAATATCACACGCAACGTTGTATATATATATAAAACGTATTATATATATTTACATATATGTATTAATAAGCTACTATCGTTGGGCATTGTTCAATTCTATGCAACGAGATAAAAAAACATAAAATAACGCAATATACGTATTATTACATACGTGGAATTTTATAGAATTTTGAAAATTTGATATATTACCGCATTTATTATCTACTTGGTCGGCTGGATCTGCTGGCAAGTAACGATCCACATACTTGTCTGCAATCGTTAATGCACCATCCAATCTATCAGCGGCGACGTCGGCAGCTTGACTACCGATGTGCGTGACACTTCCGGCACGCATTAAAACCGGCTTCACGATCTTCTTATTTACATAGTCTCGCGTGTTCAAATATATCTAGAGCGTGAAACAGGAAATAAGTATTAATTTGCATATGATGATTTAATCAAGATTAATCTGTTTACGCGCGAGACAGCTAATTGTTTCAATTGATTTTCGCGTAATCCATTTTTCCGTCCAAATTTTATTTATGGTAATAATAATAAATAAATGTTGCTACAAGCACATATATGTAACGATACATATGTAATGTTGATGTAACAATCCTCTTTCTTACGAATACATCTGTGAGGATAAGTATATCTTCACATAAATTTCGCATTGTCCTGCAGAAAATATTAGTAAACTTACAAGATGAGGGGGAAGATGCACTGCTGGCACTCTCTGCTCAACAATGTCGATACCTTTGCACAGCAGCTGATCGATTGTCGTAATTGGTCCATTGAATGCAAAAATTGCTGGTCTTGCCGTCGCCGTTGCGATTGCCAATGACTGCTCTGCCGTATCCAAACTCCAGTTCATTAAAGAATTCGAACGCTAAAGAAAGAAACGGTTTATTGAAAAGACCTTATATCTTTTCGTTGTATCTCATTTGAATCTTTGAAAGCAAAACTGGTTTTCCAATATGATGACATTTTATATCATCATGTATAACATTGTTTGTAACAATACCTTTATTTTTCTATACACATTACCAGCGATGTGTATACCGCTTTCCACGATGGGAAGACTCGAAATCCTAGCCACAGATTCAAAATGCGGCAAATCCGAGTGCCGCCTCCTCACATTTGCTCGCGCCATATGGGGAATAGTCGCTGCAATTGACAGTTATCATTAATGCTAAATTGGGAAAAAAAGATATCAATGCAACAACAATCTACACTTTAACCTGTATGTGTATTTTATTATTGTGAACAATTTCCACATTTTTACGATTGCTAAATATTCATAAAAATGTTTTTCTACAAAAACTAAATTTTTCTCATTTTGCCTATCTTCGGATTATGCGTCTATATTTTCGAAAGAAAAATGCTTTAATTAATATTTATCAATTGTATATACTGGAAAATAGCTAGAAAACATCGCTTACAATTAACGTTAAATCAACATACATATTCAGCTTTTTCTTATAGAAAAGTATATTCCCATTTTATGCAATGTGTTTTATATATCATGCTATATATGACTTGATACTAGAATGCAAGCAATTGCATCATATAACCGGTTAATATATTTAATATAGCGCTCTCTATGTATCATATGTTCGGTTCGAAATAATCCCCGCGTTCGTTTCGATTCGGTAAAATAATTTCTCTCCCTTTTTCTCCCTTTCAATTCGAAAAAGTAAAATCTTATCTACGGACAAATTCCCCTCTCTCCAATTGCGGCCAATAAAGAATATTATAGATTATCGCTAATACACCAGTTCGTAGAAAAAAAAACACGTGTTATCTTTGGTAAATGTAAACGGCGCCATATGTCACTCAAAAGGAACGACTTGCTCAGCATCCGCTCGATGAACCGATAAGGGAGGTCATATCGGGAGGGGACGGTAAAGATTTTGCTTCGTGGTTAATGTCGAGGCTATATACATGCTCTCTTTTGCGAACATCAAGTAATCCTCTCTCAACCGGATGATATGCTAGATTAATCGCGATCGATTAAATTCGCCGATGGCGATAATACGAGACAGGGACATTCATTAAACTCATCGACGCTTCAGTCAAAACTATCGGTGAGACTTTCACCCGAAGGAGTTCACTACGATGCATGAGAATGACAATCGAGCTGAGGTGGAAGCTCCCTCCGGTGAAATCTCTCTGTGAGCGATTACGCTGATGGACGGCCACTTTCTCGTAGAGGTCAAACTTTCTTTATGTGCACAACACGTGCATCCGCGTCTGTACCGTCGTCCGCGAGATTCTATCCGCAAATTCTTGCTCTTGTATCGATGTATTTATTACGTTTTACTCAAAATTACACCTGCAGATATTTCTATAATATTTTAATGATTCGGTGTTCTCTTCGCTTTTATATTATTTCTTGAGATACTTTATGCCGCTATTGCGTCTTTGATTAAATTCTAATCTGATTTGTCGCGTAATTACCAAATTACCGATTATATATGTTGTGCACTAAAGTGATGTTTAGGCAAACTCAACGCGAAAAACTTCTGCTGATTTCGCACAGGGATCACTCCTTTCTTCTTTTTACTTTGCGCGCGGTTCGACTGTACAATCAGCTATACAATTATATTCAGATGCATACGCGCAAATACACATGCCCGTGCAAATATAAATATGCATGTATGCACAAATACACACGTATATACGAGTCACGAATCGGATTAGATCCAAATCTGTGGAGACCGTAGATTAGTATCATAGTTACGTCGGGGACTCTTACCTGAGAGCAAAGGCGAGCTGCCTGCGGATTCTCTGCGGGATACCGTGTAACCGGGCCAATCGCGTTCGAATCCGACGGCCGGATGAGACGACAGAAAACTCGGCGTTTCGACCGAAGAACCGCGCCGTTGACTGCACGATGGAGACTGCAAATGGGTATCTCATCGGTTTGACCTATGACACATCGATTATATACGGACGCGGCGGACGTAATGACGCACGAATAAAAATCTTTTCCTAACTTCTCTGCCATCTCTCCGTGCATAGGAATCGGAAAGAAACGTAGATATTGAGTGCGTTCCGTTTTGCACATTTCTTGTTGCTTAACATTCGGTGACAACAAAGATAAATGATGCATTATGCGCATCATGCGTAAAACGGAATGCACCCAACTTGCTGAGCCAACTTTGCGTACGACAATGGGTTGCTTTCACAGATAAGGCAGGCTATTGTCGAAGTTTTGATTCTATATGTTAAAATTTTTTGAAAGAAAATGTTCTTAACTGCTAGGCATTCATGCTTCGAACATCTCTCTTTTCTTCAAAAGTCCTTCATTGAAAATTATAAGTGTAATAATTACAAAACTACGAAAACATTTATTTCATTTTTATCAGTTGTGACACTTTTATTGGTCCTCCAAGTTCTTCCCCGAGCTATATTTAAATTATTATTGTATCTACCTTATCAAACAAACGTTGCGGCATACATTACATGACAACGATATTTAAGATATCAATTAACAATACCTACCTTTATTCCAATTTTTAAAAGATTTTTCAATTTTTTATTATTTAGAAAACAAATTTAGAAAATATATTTGTAAATATATAAGTGCAGTTTAATAAATAATCGCGTTTGTCTCGTTCTACAGGATTATCACGTCAAGCTTTATGAGTCGAATGAACATAATTGCAGATTATTACTCCGAGACGCTAGACATCACGTGAAAAGGTAAAGGAGCAAAAAGAAACAATATGAAAAACTCGAAATTATCTCTGGCAGACGCTCTTAATTACCATGCAAAGTCCACTTCGCAATTCTATCTCTACAAAGCTGGAATATCCCATGGTTGTGTTTCAATGTAGACTTATTTTTCGCCAATTTGTACTTATCTTGCCCTGTCTACTGGCCCTGATTTTACTTATCTTCTTGTTAGAAAAATTTGTTCTTGTCTAATCTAATTCTACTTCTCCTTAAATAAATTATTCGTTTAAGTATAATATATGATTAAATGGAATGTTCCGAAAGAGAAAGTAATAAATCGATACACTTTCCTTGTCTGTATTTATTTGTTTATAAATATGAAGCGCGAGTTTTCTTGTAATAGTCTTTTAAAATGTGCTTTTAAAGAAACTAGAATTTTCATAGACCTAGATATTTTAAATAATTAAGACACCGTAAAAGCTGAGTTAACAAAAATTTAAAAATTTATATAAATTAAAATTTTACTTTTAACACATTACATTTTTTGAAAATCTAAAATACAAGTTAAAATCTCGCAAAATAAGTAAATATCGTGTATATCGTTATAAGTTTAATTTACGTAAGTACGTTGATAATATATTATGCACGGATATCTTTTCCGATACTTTTATCCATCATCTTTTCAATGAAAAGCTGTCAACGTACGCGTCGTAAAAATATGAAAGAGCTGAAGCTCTTCTCATTCATGATGGCGCCATATAACGTTAGATATAACGCAGTCAAGATGATATTAAGTACAGTATTTGTTAGTTAACAAAATATACTGCGCAGAAAATATAATAAATATAATTTTTTAATATTTCTAAAAAGTGAAATTAATTGTATTATGTATAGATCTTAATTAATCAAGCAATTAATTAATTTTTTGCAAAGTATATATATCTAATCAATTGTAAATATAAAATATTTGTGTCCATTTTAATTAAATAATTAATTTGTTGTTTAAATAATTAATCTGTTACTAAATCTTTGTTTATATTTTCTCAAGTAACAATGATAAAATTTATAACTTTTCTTGTAACATCAATAACAATTTATTCCACATTTTAACAAATGAGTATTATATATTTTAACAAATGAGTATTATAATTATACAGACATAGAACAAGCAAGAAACTAAATAGTTAGAAATATTATGCAATTGTAAGAATTTAAAGGGTCAAATTGATAGATCAACTATTTCATTGCTTGTTGAGAATAAAGTGTCGCTAAATTCAACTAACACTAGTTCAATCAGAAAATTGTCGATATTCATCGTCAGAAAAGATGGCTTTTCAATGAGTGAAAATTGCACATAATTTTTATAGTAAATTAGTAACTGTATGAATAAAAATGATTGAGCTTTAGTAATTAATTTGTTTTAAATATATATATATAT